GCCGACGCATCGGCGATGCATCGTCGGCTGTGCATCGGCGACGTTGGCGCGGAGACAGACGGGCCCCGCGTCGAGCCGCATCGCCGATGCATCGGCAACGCGGCGCGATCCTCCGACCCCATCTGCTCCGACCCCGCGGGCGGGGCCTAGACTAACCCCCCGCTGCCCCCTCGATACCACCCCACCCTTCCCCCACACTCCTCCCCGATGTCTCGCTCCCAACCCGCGCGGCGAGGAACCTCGTGCGCCTCCGCCAACGACTTCAGGCGCTCTCCGCCGGCGAAAGCCCAAGCCAGCCGGCGTTGGGGAACGCGAACCTGCGGTAGATGCGTCGAGCCCTTGCCGGGACCTCGAAAACGGCGGAAACAGCGCCCCGAAGGGTCGCCCCCATCCCGCCCGCAGAGATCGTCACCCCGAGCCCCGCGGCCCGTGGTGGCCCCGAGCAGGCCCGGGGCCGATGGGGGGGGGCAGGGCGGTTGCCTCCAAGGCCCGTTGCACCGCTGCAAAAGTCGCGACCCCCCCCCGCCGACGACGGCGACAGCGACTGCGACAACGACCGACGACGACGGCAAACGACGACGCCGACGCCGACCACGCCCGCTGTGCCGACGAATTGCCGCGACCATTTCGCGCCGCGACGACGACGACGCGGGCGGCGACCGACGACGACGGCGACGACGACGAACTGAAATCGGAGGGGGGGGAGGAGGAGGAGTGACGACGACGACGACGCCTACGAAAACAAAAACACCGTCGCCGGCGTTTTCTCCCAACGACGACGACGACTACGAAAAAAACCGTCGACGGTTTTTCCAAGCGACGACGACCGACCACAAAAACGACGAACAAAAAAACAGTCGACGTTTTTTATTCCAAACGACGACGACGACGACGGCGGCGACGACGACGACGGCGACGACGGCCTCCCCCCTCGCTTCGCCCACCTCGCCCCCCCCCACCCACCTCTGTGCGTCCTCGCTGCCCAGCTCCCCTCGTCTCAGCCGCCCTCCCCCCTGGGCCTCTCCTCCGACCCCCTCGTCGACACGGCGCCCCGTCTGCCTTGTGGCCCCGCGTCACAACCTCGATGGACGGGGGCCCCGACTTCGTCGCGCGCACCCTGAGGTCGACGCCAGATCGCATGGAGCCGCGAGCCTGGCTGGGAGAGGGTCGTTCGGTAGTTGCGTGAGTATGTCTCTCTCTCTCTCTCTCTCTCTCTCTCTCTCTCTCTCTCTCTCATATCGCTCCTCTCTCTCTCTCTCTCTCTCTCTCTTTCCCCCTCTCGCTCTCGATGCGTATGTGCATCTCTCTCAATCTCCAGTTCTCTCATTGTTGTTCCTCTTAATCATCTCCCTCTCTCTCGCTACTTTTTTTTCTCTCTCTCCTCTCTCTATTGCTCCATCTCATCTTCTATATTATTATATATTATATATCCCCCCTCGATATATTTCGATTTGTGGTGTAAGGGGTTATCTCTCTCTCTGCATTTCCCTCGTCCTCTCTACTCCATATGCCTTTCTCTATAATGTGACTATGGTTTGACTCACTACGTGTATTTCCCATGTGGTTTCTTCCTGCATCATTGTTTCTTGTTTTTGACAGTGTCTCTCTCTCCTCTCTTCTTCTCCATTTGTTTCTATCTCCACGCTCGCTGGTTCGCTCTCTCCTCTCTCGCTCTTCACTCATCTCTATCTTTCTCTCTCTCTCTCTCTCTCCCTCTCTCTCTCTCTCTTGTTCCCTCCCTACCCTCTTTCTCTTTTCTCCTCTGTCTGCCTTGGTCTCCCGTCGCACAGCCTCTTCGCGCGTCGACCAGGCGGGCCTCCAGCGCCCGCTTGTCCTTCCTGTTCCTTCGGCGGGCGCGCGGGAGGACGATGGGGGGGGAATGGCGGGGGGGCGCGGGGGGGGCGAGCGGAGGAAAGGCTTGAGGGTCCCTCGGGGCTCAAATAAGGGGCCCCACGGGCGCGCGGGAAGTTGGGGAAGGGCGGGGGGCAGTGGGGGGAAGGGTTGGGCCCGCAGGCGGCCTGGCGGCAACGAGGCGGGCGGAGATGACGTGCGCGGCGGAGCTGCCCGCCGCGGCCCGCCCCCCGCGCGGCGCGGCCGCGGCTGCGACCACCTCGCGCGCATCGCGCGCCGGGCGGTGTCGCAGAAAGGCCCCTCGTCATCGGCGCCCCCGTTGTCCTCCTCCTCCTCCTCCTCCTCCTCCTCCTCCTCCTCCTCCTCCTCCTCCTCCTCCTCCCCCCCTCCTCCTCCTCTTCCTCTTCCTCCCTCTCCTCCTCCCTCCTCCTCCAACCTCCTCCTCCCGACTCCTCCCCCCACTCATCCTCCTCCTCATCCGCCTCCTCCTCATCTCCTCCTCCCCCTCCTCCTACTCCTCCCTCCTCCTCCTCCTCCTCCTCCTCTCCACCTCTCCCTCCTCCTCCTCCTCCTCCTCCTCCTCCTCCTCCTCCTCCCCCTCCTCCTCCTCTTGGGGCCATAAACCGGATGCTCGATCCGATCGAACACAGTCCCTGGGCCCAAAATCGATCGACCCGATCGAACATAGCCCTGGTTGGCAAAATCGGGTGTTGGACCTGATCGAACATAGCCCTGGCGGGCAAAATCGGGTGTTCGACCCGATCGAACATAACCCTAGTGGGCAAAAACGGATGTTCGACCCGATCGAACATAGCCCTTGGCCTCTTGGGCCGTCTTAACATCTCCCGGGACCCGCGCCCCCCCCCCCCCCGCCCCCTAGCGCGCAAGTATCGAGGGGGAAGGGATGTGCGTCGTCGTCGGTGGAACCATATTGGGACATCTTGTACCTTGGACGCTCCACTAACTCCTCCTCCTCCTCGTCCTCCTCGTCCTCCTCCTCCTCCTCCTCCTCCTCCTCCTCCTCCTCCTAGTCCTCCTGCTCCTCCTCCTCCTCCTCCTCTTCCTCCTCCTCTTCCTCTTCCTCCTCCTCCTCATCATCGTCCTCCTCCATCCCCATCCTCCTCCATCCATCCTCCTCCTCCTCCTCCCCCTCCTCCTCCGCCCCCATCCCCATCCCCCCATCCTCCTCCTCTTCCCATCCTCCTCCTCCTCCTCCTTCCCTCTCCTCCACCTCCTCCCCCTCCCCCGCCCTCCTCCTTCTCCTCCTCCTCCGCTCCTCCTCCTCTCCTTCCTCCTCCTTTCCCTCCTCCTCCTTGATTCCTTCTCCTCCTCCTCCCACCTCAATCTTTCCCCCTCATCCTCCTCCTTATCCTCCGACCGTTTCCTCCTCCTCCCCTTCCTTCTCCTCCTCCTTCTCCTCATCCTCCCCCTCCCCCTCCTCCTCCTCCTTGCTCCTCATCCTCCTCCGCCTCCTCCCCCTCCTCGTCCTCATCCTTCTCCCTCCCTCCTCCTCCTCCTCCTCCTCCTCCTCCCCCTTTCCCCCTCCCTCCACCTCTTCTCTCTCATTTTCTCCACCTCCTCTTCCTCCTCCTCCCCTCGTCCTCCTCCTCCTACTCCTCCTCGCTCCCTCCTCCTCCTCCCTCCTCCTCCTCCTCCTCCTCCTCCTCCTCCGCCTCCTCCTCTTACTCCTCCTCCTGCTCCTCCTCCTCTTCCTCCCTCCTCCTCCTCTTTTCACATCCTCCTCATCTCCTCCTCGTCCTCCTCCTCCTCCTCTTCCTCCCCCTTCGTCCTCATCATGTCTGCCTCCTCCTCCTCCACCTCCTCCTCCTCCCTTCTCATCCATCATCATCATCGTCATCATCATCATCATCATCATCGGACATACATCATCGTCATCATCATCATCATCATTCATCCCTCCCTCCTCCTCCACCTCCTTTTCCCTCCTCCCCTCCTCCTCCTCCTCCTCCTCCTCCCTCCCCCTTCCTTCATCCTCATCCTAAACCTCACATCCCTCCTCATTCCCCCTCTCTTTCCCTCAGAATTGTCTTCCTCCTCCTCCTCCACCTCTTCCTCTCCTCCTCCCTCATCATCAACATCATCATCATCATCATCATCATCATCATCATCATCATCATCATCATCATCATCATCATCATCATTATCAGCATCATCATCATCATCATCCCTTCTCCTCTTGCTCCTCCTCCTCGTCCTCCTGCTCCTTCTCCTCTTCCTTATTCTCCTCCTCCTCCTCCTCTTTCTCCTTCTCCTCCTCATCCTCCTTTTCCTCCTCCTCCTCCCTCTCCTCCGCTTCCTCCTGCTCTTCCGATTTCTTTTCTCCTCCTCCTCCTCTTCTCCTCCTCCTCCTCCTCTTGCCTCATCTTCCTCTCCTCATCTTCCTCCTCCTCCTCCTCCTCCTCCTCCTCCTCCTCCTCCTCCTCCTCTCCCTCCTCCTCCTCCTCCTCATCCTCCTCCTCCTCCTCATCTATTATTCCGCCCCTTCCTTCATGGGTTGTATTGCTCCTCCTCCTATTCCTCCTCTTCCTCCTCCTCCTCCTCCTCCTCTTTCTCCTCCTCCTCCTCTTCCTCCCCCTCCTCCTCCTCGTCCTCCTCCTCCCCTTCTCCTCCTCATCATCATCATCCTCCTTACCCGTCTCTCATCCTTGTCCGTTTCCCCTTTCTCGCCTCCGGGGCAGCGACCGCGGCGCGGGCCTCGGCGTCCTCGCCGGGGGCCGCCGCTGGGCCGAGGAAGTCCTCGGCGAAGTCGAACGGCATCCCCCGGCGCAGCTTGCGCGGCCCACGCAGGCCGAGCTTTCACGTCCCTGCCCAGGGCGCTAACAGCCAGACGACGACGTCTACGAGACGTGGACGAGGAGGCGGACGACGACGACGACGACAACGACGACGGCGACGATGAAGCCAACGACGACGACAACGACAACGACAACGACGACGACGACGACGAGGACGAGGACGAGGACGACGACGACGACGACGACGACGACGACGACGACGACGACGACGACGACGACGACGACGACGACGACGACGACGACGACGACGACGACGACGACGACGACGACGACTGGGGACGCGAAGGCAACGGCCTGCCTGCGCGGCGGGCTCGCCCCGGCGCGGGCCAGAACCCTGAGCCCGGCTGAGCCGAGAGGGCGACCAGAGACGGGGGTCGATGCAAACGGGGCTCCGCCGAAGCGCCGGATCTTGCAGGACCCCGCAGGGCCCGGGTCAGTGAGTCCCAGATATGTCCGGGGGAGGAGGGTCGCAGCAAACCATGCGTCGAAATTCCCCGCCCGAGGAGGAGGAGGCGGAGGGAGAGGAGGAGGATGAGGAGGAGGAGGAGGAGAAGGAAGGGCAGGAGGAAGGGCAGGAGGAGGAGGAGGAGGAGGGGGAGGAAGAGGAGGAGGTGGGGGAGGAGGAGGAGGAAGAGGAGGAGGAGGAGAGGACGAGGAGGAGGAGGAGGAGGAGGAGGAGGAGGAGGAGGAGGAGGATGAGGAGGAGGAGGAGGAGGAGGAGGAGGGGGAGGAGGAGAAGGAGGAGGAGGAGGAGGAGGAGGAGGTTGGAGAAGAAGGAGGAGGATGAGGATTAGGAGCAGAAGGGAGGACCAGCAGGAGGGGAGGGTGAAGGGGGGCAGTGCGGGGAGGGGGAGGGGCGACGGCTGTTGATCCAAGCCTCCAGGCACTGCAACGCATGCCACGAGGGGCGCTTCTGCTCTCGCCAACTCGGTCTCTGGGGGGCCGTTGTCCGTGGGGAGGGCCCCCCCGCCTCGGCCAGGGGGGGGGGGCGTGGGCCCTGGCGGGGGGGGAGCTTTCCACCGCGGTCGGTTCCCCGCCAGGGGGCGAGGGTGGTGGCGGGGAAAGCCTTTCCGCCAAGGCCGGGGGGCTGCCCGGGAACCCCTTTGGGGGCCCCTCCCGGGGCCCTCTCGGGGCCCTCTTGACCAGCCTGTCGCCCATAACGCGAAAGGCTGTGACGTTGGATCGGAAGGCGAATCGATTGCAGAGATGCCGGCACAGCTTCAGAAAGTAACCTCCGAAAACCGAAAACCCAAAGGGCAAATGCAATGAGCGACGTAGCCTCCGTAACTGGCCAGCCACAGGGTGATAACGTTTCGAACACAGGGCCCAGGAAGTGAAAAGAGCACGCGCCGCGGAATTAGAGAAGAGGCGTCATGGTCGCCAGAGGAGCGCTTCAGATGGGCTGAACCCTCTGCAAGGGCTGGAGGGAGGAGTTGTTCCAAGTACATCACGAGGCAACGAAGTAGAAGTTGTCGCAGACCGACCCTCCGGGCAGATCCCCATCTTCGCCCGTGGGTCGAAGATGCGCAACAATACAATGACGCGGTTCGTTAAATCAAACGGGCACCGCGCACAACGCTGACATCGACCCCGCGCAAGAGTAACCCTAGGTAAGAGTGACCTTTGGTGCGCACCACTGGGGGCACCGCGGAGGGGGGCGTGCGTGCGTGCGTGCGTGCGTGCGTGCGTGCTTGTGTGTGTGTGTGTGGGTGTGCGCGTGCGCGTGCGTGCGCGCGTGCGTGCGTGCGCGCGCGTGCGTGCGTGCGTGCGTGCGTGCGTGTGCATACGTACGTACGTGCGTACGTACGTACGTACGTGCGTGCGTGTGTGTGTGTGTGTGTGTGCGTGTGCCCCTAAGCCGCCCGTGCCGACGGGCGCCCTTCAGGCCCCTCAGCTACGGAAGACCACCGCGCAAAGGGGGCCACAGCTCTACACGCCGGGTTCATCAGACGCGGAACCCGCACTCCATGCCCAGTCTCGGCCAACGGCCCCTCGATCGCCAGGGGGGCCATCCAATGTAGCTGTAGCTGGTACTCGGGCGGGCGCGCACGCGCGCCTGGGAGCGGCGTCGGGGGCGTCGGCGTGGTTCGGGGGGTGGTGGCCTGATCTCGAGGGGGCCCGGGGGGGGGCTGGGAGGGATACCGAGGAGTGCCTGGGGGGGCTCGGGGGACATCTCGAGGGTGCCTGAAAAGAGGCCTGGGGGGGGTTCCTGAGGGGGCCCTGGGGGCGTGGGGCCTGGGGGGATACCGAGGAGGGCTGGGGGGGGGGGGGGCATCTCGAGGGGGCCTGAAGGGGCCCAGGGGGGTGCCTGGGTGGGCCCGGGGGGCGCCTTCTGGGGGGGGCCTGGGGGGCCTGGGGGGGAGCCTGGGGGGCCTGGGGGGGGTTCTGGGGGGGGGCCGGGGGGCGCTTGGGGGGCCTGGGGGGGGGCCTGGGGGGGCCTGGGGGGTGTCGGGGGGGGGCCTGGGGGGTTGTCGGGGGGTTGTCGGGGGGGTTGTCGGGGGGGGTGTCGGGGGGTAGGGGGGGCGCCTCTCGTCGGAGCCCCTGTTAAGCCTGGAGCGGCACCCCCAGCTTAGGAGCACCTCAGAAGCCACCAACATCCCGCCAAGAAGTCCCCCAAGACGCCCCAAGAACCACCCAAGAAGCCCAACAAGAAGCCCCAACGACCCCCAAACGGCCCTTACGGGGCCTCAAGAGGCTTCAACACTGCCTCCAAGAGGTTCCCGAGACGCCTGGCAAAAGAACCCCCGAAGCGCCGCATTGACACCAGGCCCTCGGGCAAACGGCAGACATGAGACTGTATGGGCCGGCGGAATGAGCGAAGCGATTAAATAAGAAGTTGGACACGCACTCACACACACAGACACACACACACACAGACACACACACACAGACACACACAGACACACACACAGAGACACACACACACACATACACACACACACACCTTGCCGTTGCGTGGACGTCCATTTCCCGTGCATGTTTCGGTTCCGTGCGTGTTTTTTGTTCCTCGATGGTCCAGGATGGTCATCATGGTTCTCGCCGAGAAAAATTGCACGCGTCCGAGCGATGCCAAGACACACGCACACACACACGCACCAAAGGTTTTGAGCGATTTGGGCGTTTCGGAGGTATCCCTCGGAGGCTTTGGGCCCATGCGGGCTCCAAGGTGGACCCAGACTCTGTAGGATGGCCTCCAGGATGCCGCATTGCAGTCCTAGTTGGCCCAGGAGGCCCAGTGATGGACCAAAGACTGGTCCAAGCGGCAACGGGAACTCCTAAGCAAGCCCCCGAAGAGCCAAAATCCGTCCCAAATCCATGGGGAATCGGAGATGTTGGCCCTCTCACCTTTTCGTTTCGGTGGGCTCCCGGGGCCCCAACATTGTGACCAATGTGTGCGTGGTAATACTTGTTGGTCTTGGCTGTCAACTGCTCGCCGGCACAATGAAATCTCGCCCCCTTTTGGACGCATAAGATGTCGGCGTCGGTGGTCACGACCCCGGTCTTGCTCGCGTGCGGCGATAGCCGTCTCGCACCTGGTTCCGGCGCGAAGATGTTCAACGCGCGGTTGGCTTCTTCAGCGGAGTCCGAATACAACGCGATGTCGTCTGCGTGCTGCATGTTGCACAGCTTCTCCGAATGGCCAACTGAAGTGCCGCCGGCAGCCACTCGCCTCTTGAAATCGCGCGCAGCGGCCCCAAATCCCGCATTAAAAAACAAAGACGACATCACATCCCCCTGCTCCGCCACGCGCGGTATGCAGAGGCTCGCACGGCCATTGACAATGCTGGTGTGGTCCTGGTGGGTGTCTTACAGCGGCCTGATGCAATTTCCACCCACTCCTAGCTTGCGTAAAGCATCGTACAGGGCTCAGCGTCTGATCCTAACCAAATTCTTAAGCAAGATCGGCACTGGCAAACCACTGCACCAAATGGACCCCCCCCCGCAAAGATTTTGAACGGACTTCCTCGAACGCAGTGACAGCGTCATCCACAGAGCGGCGCGGCTTGGAACCAACCCGGTCGACATGCTGCTCCGAGTCAACAGCGGACTGCAGACGTGCGAGCAGCATCCGCGACAGTCTTGCAGGTTTCCCACAGGATGGCAATGGACCTTAGCTCTTCGCGCCGCGGCGGTTGCCAGTCGCAGGCGGTCGCATGCGCGGCGTCTCCATCCATGACGGGCCGAGGGCACCGCCGCGCAGCGCGTCGTTCACGCCCGCCAGCACTCCCCCGTGCAGGTCGTCGCCCCGGTGCGCAAAATTGCCGAGGATTGAGCCTCGCCTGTCGGCGCAATTACCTTTCTTCATCCTGAGGGCGCATCGGAATTCAAGAGACATGAATGGGCCTGAGTCGTTAGGCCCTTTGTCGCAGCAACTGTCTAAGCATGCCGATCTTTCGTCCCCCGCCTCGGCGGCGAGGGTCTGCTCGAATGGCGTCTGAATATCTCGCTGGTGATGAGGCACTTCTCGCACTGCCGAACTGGGGACACATGCAACGAACTCTCCAGACCTTTGTGCTCGGCCAATTCCTCCGCAGCCCGTGCGTCGGAAAATTGTCAGATTACTTCCCTGTGGTACTTGTTGATCAATATCGATAATTAACCGCAACCAATATGCCTGGCTTTCGGCTTCGCGGCCGCTGTCGGCACAGATCTGACATATGACGGTCGCGCCACGGCCGGCGCTTCGAATGGCCGCAGGCCTCTCCTGGGGAAGAGACGAAACTGCATCTCCAAAAGCGTGGCCTCTCCCATCTGACCCCGCAAATGGTTTCGATTGGCGTCTGCGGCCTGAGCCGCTCCCTTGGCACCGCGGCGCCGGTCGGACGATGCATCGAGCGCGCGCTTCTCTGCGATATGAGCCCGCGTCAAAATCGCCAATGGGATTGCGCGGTAAACAGTCCAGACAAGAGCCGCATATCCATCATCGAGGCACCGCCTAATATCAGGAGGGCCGCTAAAAGC